GCTACTGCTGATTCTTCCCATCAGTGTTTAATGACAAGCAAGACGAGTGACGATGCTTTCTGTGAGTCTGGGGGTCTTAGGCTGGTTTGGACCTGTGTGATCCTGTTCTATACACTTCATTTGTGGTCTGTCATTTAGGACAGGAATCATCCCATAAAGATATTTATATTAAATATATTGAGTTATGGTTTTGTCTTTATCATGTGAGGTTTTGCTTGATGAATAACCATCAGGAAAAGCATGATGTTCTTGATCTCTCCTCAACAGAAATATTTGGGAATTCAGGTGAAATTCCAGGTAAAAGTGTTGTGATATTGGGGTGACTTGAACAAAGATATTTGGCTGTCACAGGTAATCCTTGTAGTGCTAGAAAGTAATCTTTGAAGCGCCCTACTGAAATCTAGATACACAATGTATGGAGAAGGCATCTGATGAACAAGCAGGAAGTAAATCTCTCTCTGCCATCTGGAAGATACAGATTTCCAGGAAGTGTGTCATCAACAAGTGGCTCAGCTGACTTCATCTTGGTGGAGATGCAAACTGTTCCTGATGGTTGAGGGGGTTGTGTGTGTGTTTAAACTGTAGGCAGAATACCTCTTCAGGCTGATTTTAGGCTCTGCTTTTGAGTCCTCTGAGAGCAGTGGCTGGCCTTCAAGTGCAAAGGACTGGCAGCTGCTCCATACTTATAGAATCATAGAATGGTTTGGGTTGGAAGAGACCTTAAAGATCATCTAGTTCCAACCCCCCTGCCATGGCAGGGACACCTTCCACTAGACCAGGTTGCTCAAAGCCTCGTCCAGCCTGGCCTTCAACACTTCCAAGGAGGGGGCATCCACAACTTCCTTGGGCAACCTGTACCAGTGTCTGACCACCCTCACAGTCAAGAATTTTTTCCTAATATCTAATCTAAACCTACCCTCTTCCAGTTTAAAGCCATTTCCCCTTGTTCTGTCACTACCTGCCCTTATAAAAAGTCCCTCCCCACGCACTTAGGGGCAGAGGCTGTGTGGAGGGCTGGTGAGAAGCTATCATGTATGTGTGAGCATTTGGGTAATGACTGAAGAGCTGCCATGTGGACTCTGAAAGTTTCTACACCATAGTAGAAATCACTTTTATCTCCCCTTGCCCTTCCCCTTCTCCTTTGTTAAATCACACATCTTTAACTATATATATGATTGGTTATTTTTTAATGCATCTTTTGTTATCTTAACATTGTCCTAAACAAGAAAAAGTCTCAGCCTGTGTTATTTTTATGCTGTTCAGTTTGATGGTTATAGGATTTCCTGTTCTCCTATATCTTGCTCTGAAGACACAACAGCATAAATTAATATTGCAAGTAGTCTTGTGGACTTTCTGTATGACTTGGCTAAGTCTGCAGGCCCTTTTTTCCAGGTAGGTAGTTGGAAGCACTAATGCTTCTTTACATCATTCATTTCTTGTGGGGGGGAGTTATTAGTCAAACACCTAATTTAGTAGTATTGCATTCAGGTGCCAAGATACAGTCTCTGCACCTTGCTTGCTGGAAAGGCAAACATGTGCCAGTACCTGACACCTGAAGCTCAGCAGAAATCTCACTGTGTGTTAAAAGCAAATGTGCTTTCCCTGAGGATTTCAGGATTTGTACATTCGCTTCCGCTGTTGGGTGTGTTGTCCTCAGTGAATGGTCTTGAGGGAGAATGAGAAGAGGAAAACTTGAAAAACAGTTTAAATTGCAAGACTGTAAAGAATTATTTTGTGCAATCTTCCCTCTGTAGTTTTATTGCTCTGCAATATTTGACTTGTACATTAGATTTTCTGTGTTTGTACCTGTATTTTAGAAATGTACGAAGAAAGCCTTTTTATACCATGCTGTTACCTGTGCTTGTAGTATAGCTGTCATTTCCCTGTACCTTCATTTATTTTTTAATTTATTTTTCTTTTTTTTCTTTATTTGCAGATTTCTAATTAAAACATATGTTTATTTTAATTATGTGTCTTCCATCCGTTTCTCTGTAGTCTTTAGTGTTTCTGTCTGGTGTATATCTCTTGTTTTTATTCCAACTTTCTTACCCTCTTCTTTATTTATTGTGCTCCAAGCGGAGAAAAATAGGTAGATGCTCAGGAAGCTAAAAATCTTCCTTTTGGCATTACAAATGTGTGGATACTAGTTCTCTTTTCTCTTGTTGCAGTCACTAGGATGCCTGTGAGTGAAGAAAGTCCTTGCTGTAAGTTTGCTGGTGAAACCCCAACCTCACGTATCACTTGGGTCAGATATTCTGATTATGGAAGTAACCAAAGCTCTGTTTCCATTGACTGGTGCTCAGTCCTGTTGGGTTGCTTCCAGTTAGTTTACTGAGAATTTGCTTTACTCTTGCTCAGCTACATTTTGTTGACTGGGTTGTTAATTATGGGTTTAAACTTGTATTTGCTTTTTCTAACAACTTAAAATATTGTGAGTTTTTCTCCCTCTTTATCCATTTACTTTTCTCTTTTGAAGAGGCATTGCTTCATTAAACACTTGCCTGCTTAGTCTGTAATGATCCTACTTCTTCCACTCTAAATACATTAATACATTGAAGAAAAAGAGCTTCATTTGTCTTCAGTGGGATGAAGATATTCCACATTGGTTTTGGTGCGTGGTACATCTTTGCACATGATCTCTGGTGGCATAGCTGCACTATGGAGGACTCAGCAGGATCTCTTGTGTAATTCCAGAGTGGCAGGGTTTTTGAACCTCTAATGAAGTGAGAATGATATTTAATCATCACACTCTGGTGAGAACAGTGTGATTTTTATGCTTCTACAAAATTAAGCATCTGCTTCAGGTCTTTACTCTCACCCTAGTCTATTCCTGCAGTAGGACTCCAGTATCATTGGTAGAAAGCTGCTGTATACAAGTAGTCAATGATGAGATGCTTATTCTGTGATGGTGATCTGGACCACTTGTCTACTCTTCTGGTGCAGCACAGTAGTGAGACATATAAACAGGAAGGGAAAAGAAAATATGTGGCTGTTTTTCCAGGGGACAGACCTTCTTGTGGCAGCACTTGAGGCTGCGGGAGGGAGGAGCAGATTGTCAGCTCAAAGCTGCCAGGGGAGCAGCTGCCTGCTCCAGCTTGGCCCCTGAATGGACTGCACATTTTAGCAAGTACTTGGCACTTTTGGTCAGACTGGGAAAAAACAACTTCTGTAACTTGTCTCCTTCTGTAACTTCATTCCTGCAGTGACCAAAGAGCCACAGGGAGAAATGTCAAGGATGCACCCAGTGCAACGGGCTTCTTTCATGTAAACCCCTCTTTCTTCCACAGAGGTCCTGCAGGACTCTGTTGATTGTGGAGGTGCTGTCTCAACCTCAGTTTCTTCATAGGGTGCTTTTCGTGCTCTGCTTACTTTCCTTCTTAATGCTTCACATTTCCAAGGTTAACTTCACAGTTTCTCGTTGCTAAAAATTTCCTTTCTTTTTAATTTTAGAGTAGAAGATTTCCATGTTATGGAGTCCAAGTGTGCAATTTCTATTTAGGTTCCTGGGCCATCTCTCTCTTGATCAGTAGATAAGTTGAAGAGTAGTGGTGATACACTACTGCTCTTTGCAGTAGTTGCAGTGAAAGCATGCTGAGCTTTTGCCATTCCCAAGCCCTAGCAATGGAGGAATCACACATAATGTATATGATATTGAGATTTTTTTTTTTCTGTGGGGTTACTGACATCCTAAGCCTCAGCAAAAGGGTTAAATAAAATTTGAGCTATGGGTTTGAGATACCGCATGACACATCTGATCCATATTACTGTGATGTGCCAGAAACTGCAGTTAGTATGTGAGTTCTGCAGGCAAAAATTATTGCAGTGCATTTTCTTCTTTTCCCTGTAGAATCACAAATGTCCTCCCTGCTGGGATTTTCTTGTTCAGTGGACTACACTGTGGGTTTGGGAAAAAAAATTGAAAACATTTATATGTAAATACAACCTGAAGGCTGCAAATATCCAAGCTGCTACAAAGACAGAGGACATGTCCACAAAAACAAATGGACCTGGTGTCCTTAGAAAATTAATAGTTTGCCATAGTAGGGGAAAAAATAAATGAGGTTGTCTTTGAAACCTTCTAGTCAGCATTTCAGACTTGTGTATTTGTGCTCCAATTAAAGGAGAAAATGGAAAAGCTTCTGGACATTTACTATTTTTAAGCCAACTTGAGCAGGGAGAAGCAGAAACAATATTTTTCACATGTTCTATTAGCAAATTACATGCCATGAATAAGGTTGGGTTTTTTGTTGTTGTTTGGCTCAGTACATAGGTTTGTGTGAGCTTTTGGTTTGGGGGAATGTGGGTTTTTGGCAATTGCTACATTTCTTTCTTTCTCTCTATTTTCACGAAGACTGTAAGTAGAAATTATTTCTGTGGGTCTCACAGCAATCTCTCACAAAATGCTGGAAGGTAGAAGAAATCCAGCAAAGGCAGAAGAGAGGCAGGCAGAGACAAACAAGGAGATGGTGGATATTTGTGGTGTCGTGCAGCAGCATTTGGTTTATTTAATTTTTGTTTCTTGATATAGTACAAATATTTCCTTGCTGAATTACTTTGATTTGGACTTAAAATAGGGTAAATTATTTTGAGGTACTTACCTGTCACTTTTGCTGGAGATCCAACTCGGCTCCTATTAATGCTCCTTCTACTTTAGCAAGGGAAAATGTAATTTACTTTTTTATAGCTGTTTTAGAAAACTCTGTGACAAAAACATACCAGTGCCTCCTCTAATAAGTTTTAAAGCCCAAACTTGTGCAGTTTGTAATAAGTGTAGTCTATCCTCTTAAAAATGTACTGGGGACTTCTGTACTAAACTCAGATAATTGCTCATAGGAGTTACCTAAATAAATCCTCTGGTGCACTGATAGGATAATTAGATGATTGATTTAGTGTTGCACTTCACAATGACTTTGTTTTATTTCTATTTTTTTTAATGAAAACAAAATTGAAATTGGAGTTTATGGTATAAGGAACTTGTTTTCCTTCCTCTCTGTAGGTGTGATTCTAGGAAGAGTATTGACCATGAGGAAGGCCACATGTTAGTCAGTGTTTACTAATCCCACCGAAGAAAATGAAGGCACGTTTCAGCTTTGCTGATCCTTTTCCCACCACTGTTGGCTGAATGAGAAATGGTTGTGTGATTATGCTGACACCCCAGCATGCATTTGGTAGACCTGTGGTTAACTCGTTCCCTCTCCATGTGTCTGCTCTTACAAAGTTTTGTCCTCATGATACTGTGCTTTCATTCTGCCAGTATGTGCCCAAAAGGCTGCCTCTGTTCTCGCTCCGGAGGTCTGAACGTCAGCTGTAGCAATGCGAACCTCAAGGAAATACCCAGAGATCTTCCTCCAGAAACAGTCTTACTTTATTTGGACTCCAATCAGATAACATCTATCCCCAACGAAATTTTTAAGGACTTGCACCAACTGAGAGTCCTCAATTTATCAAAAAATGGGATTGAGTTTATAGATGAACATGCCTTCAAAGGGGTGGCAGAAACCTTGCAGACTCTGGATTTGTCCGAGAACCGGATTCAAAGTGTTCACAAAAACGCTTTCAACAACTTAAAGGCCAGAGCCAGAATTGCAAACAATCCCTGGCACTGTGACTGCACGCTGCAGCAGGTGTTGAGGAGCATGGCTTCCAACCACGAGACAGCCAACAACATCATCTGCAAGACTTCTGTGCTGGATGAACATGCTGGGAGACCCTTCCTCAATGCTGCCAATGATGCTGACCTCTGCAACCTTCCTAAAAAGACTACCGATTACGCCATGCTGGTCACCATGTTTGCCTGGTTCACCATGGTGATCTCATATGTGGTTTATTACGTCCGGCAAAATCAGGAGGATGCGAGGAGGCACCTTGAGTACTTGAAATCCCTGCCAAGCAGGCAAAAGAAACCAGATGAAGCTGATGACATTAGCACTGTGGTATAGTATTCTGAATACAATGACTGCCTTTGTGATGGAAACTAGATTTAGATGACACTAAAATCAGAGGTTTACTTTTACCATTCATTGTAAAAATTAAGACTTTTGGGGTTTTTTTTCTGTTTAACTGAATTACACCACTGTTGAGCTTTCTAACAGAAAGTTTTGTCTGGGTGGTTTACTTTATTTATTTCTCTGGTGGCATCCTAAAGCAAGTGAATTAATATGTAAATGTTAGTTTAGACCCATTCCACTATTTAATAACGAAATTTATTTTTTTAATTTAAAAAAACAAATAAAAGCTTAAATTTGAACCATGTAAACCATAGTAATTTATTGATCAGGAACCTGTTCGGTGCCAGAGCACACTTGGTTTGATCAGGTAGAAGAGAGGAGTGATGACAAACTGTGCTGTCAGAGGTCCGGGAGTGGAGGCTCCCCGAAGGGCACTTCTCTCCTTGAGGTGCCAGCTGAAGAGCTGGTGAATGGTAGCACATTTTGGGGTCTGCTCACCATGACAGGAGAGCACACAGTGTGGGGAGAGTAGAGTTCCCTGACTCCAGCTGTAAGGGACTGAAGCTTGGGTAAGACTCAGAGGGCATTTTGGCAGCACTGGGGAGGAGCCAACATGAAGGAGCTGCATTGCAGGATGTCGAAGAGAGGTGAGTGGGGAAATGCAGTGGGTTTTCATCTTATACCCTACCCACTTACTGCCTCCCAGGAGCTTCTGGCAGGTGTCCCCAGCACCGGGGAGCACACCAAGAATGCAAGAGCAAACTTAGTGTACTGTTCAAACTAGGAGTACCACTAGTTATGGAGAGGGGAAAAAAAAAAGTTAAATAAAATCAGTCTTTTTAATCCATATGTTGGTTTGTAATTAAAAGTGACTTTAATTTTAGAGTGCAGCCTTTTTTGAAAAGCTGAATTGAATAAGTGAATATATAGGCTGGGCATATTCTGTTGCATGTTAAAAAATATTTTTGTATGATTTTAAATGCGTAGGAAAATATAGAGCCCATGCAGTTAAACTCAGCCTTGAATCTGAAATGGATATTTTAAAGCTCTACTGTCCTTAAAAACATGATCGTTTTATCTTTTCGTATATAAACTTTTCAAAGGGAACAAATTCACAAGAATGTATTCCTCTTGTTCTTTATTAACATAATAAAATTATACTTGTCTCTGGGTTCCTATAGATCCAGTCTAACTGATGTTGGAATATGGATTGCAGAAGGGTGGACTAAAAATTGTATAAAATGCTGCTTCGAAAGAACAAATTTTAAAGGACAGCCTTAAAAAAAATAAAAAAAAAAAATTACGGAGTCATATCTCCCATTAGATTATCCATTATTTCTGTTACAATTCTCTTCTTTTATGTTTTAGAAGGCACAAGCTTGTTTATCTTACTTCTTTCAGAACATTGTTAAAGAATATCTAAAATTTATTCCAGAGAAGGTGAGAGAACGAGAAAAAAAAAAGACTTTGTAAATGTGCATGGAGTCAACTTTTTATGTAATCTTTGTGAGCTGAGTCCTGCCTGAGTAGCTGTTCTTGTGACCAGCTTAGCTGTTTGCATTGTTCTATCTTGACCAAGAGTTTTTGGCATATTAAGGGATTGTTAATATTTGTAAAGGGCACAGTCCAAAAAGTATCTATTCTCTGATATTTCTGCCTCCATCCTTCTCCCCCCCCCAACCATTAAGTGAAATTTTATTTTCAAAGGAGAGCAGGCTGTTTATTGCACATCCTGCTTAGTTTGCATTTTATACCTTCCTTTCTTCAATCTCTATCTTGCTGAACTTTCCAGCATGGCCAAAGTGCCACCCCCAGCTCCCCGAGCTCTGCATGGCCTCCTGCAGGAGCCCAAAGCAGTAGGGCTGAGTACACATGTGAATCTGAAGACAGCAGAGAAAATGTTAGATTGTACTGGCAATATAATGAGCCCTACTGAATGGGATGCAAAGTTCCCCTCTGTAGGCTGAGCCAAGTTCATTCCCGATATAATTCTCTTAATTTCTCCAAAATCTCCTTCAGGGTAAAATTTGCCTTGTTTCTATTGCTGTGTTCCCCAGGTGATATTTCAGATCCCAGCTAGTATGCTGCTTTTGGAAAAAAGCAGGGGGGACTAACTAAAAGCAGGGACTGAGCTGGAGGTACTGACTTAATCAAGAGTCCAGTGTTGTTTATTCACAACTAAACGCAGGAATTTCTTCACCAAATTTGCCCCAAATTATTTAAACAGCAACATTTCAAAAATCTGGACAGTGTTAAACACTTGAAAACACTTGCAGGTTTTTTAAATTTGCTTTTAAGCAGCATTTTTTTAAAAAAAGAAAACCTCTCCAAAACTGACTGACAGAACTATAAATAATTTATGTTTAGTTTTTGCATTTTCCTGCTTTATTGATCTGTAAGACTGGTTCTGGAGCTGGTACAGTTTTGCCCCAGCTGAGCTTCTGACTCTACATGTTTAAATCCTGACCAAAACAAATTAAAACCAAGTTCAGTAGTACTCTGTAGAAAGGCTCTGGAGAGATGGTTTCGTATCAGTTCTCCAGGTCTGCTGATTTAAGTGATTTAAGTGATTCCCTATCAAACCTCTTTCCCCACAAAACTTTTCTTGTCTTCTTTTAAAGCCAATATTGAAATATCTGTTTAAAATCTGAGAATCAAGGCAATGCTCTGACAACCAATGGATGAAAACTCGTCAAGCTGAATTTAGCTGATGAGAAAAATAAATTAAATCACTGTTCCTTAGGTGTGTGGACTTGACAGTACTAGTGCTCCTGACAACTCAAATATTTGAGCTACATCTCTTTGTTTAATTGAAAAGAAACAGAAAAGAAAGATAAAAACCATTGGCATATGAAGACTCTTGTTTTTATCATGTTTTACCATACATCTTTCTGTTCAAAACTACTGTCTAGAAAAGCCTATCCGCTGGCTTTTGAAGTCAATAGCACAAATGGCACAAACTTTTAAAACTTTGATTGCATAATACTCCAGCGTGTTATTTTATTTACCATAAGTTTTGCTAAAAAATGAGCAAATTTGTATATTTTTATAAATACAATGAAAGGAAATAGATTTTTCTGTATTCACAGGAGATAGTTTATGACAGAAAATAGAGGGAAATGCATGGCACAGTGAATCCTGATTTTTTTTGTTCGTTAAGATGTTTCAGGAAAAGTAGAACTAGGGCTCAATAGGTTAAGTGTGATTTATTTCGTTATCCTGGGGGGGGTTTTTTAAATCCTATTTTTTGTTTCTAAAGGGTAAAGTATAACTCTCAATGCTATTTTTCTTTTTTCTTTTTTCTTTTTTCTTTTTTTTTTTTTTTTTTTTTACTTTAGTGCTGATTTTTCTCTGCTAATTTCTGGTGTTATACTCTGTGGCTAAGATGTCTGGTGGTGCGTTTGGGCTGTGTGTATTTACTTTCACACATTATACTTTTATTCTGTTCTCAGTTTTTGTACCGAATTAGATACAGATATCTTCACCATTAATGTACGTTATGTTTCTAAGTCTTCAGTAGCAAGATCTTGCACCACAGTTGCCATATCTTTCAGGGGCTGAGTATGAACAGAAGGTGTGGTGATGCAGCTTCTGATCTTCCCAGGGAGTAAAGAGGAGAATTCTAGTTCACCAATGAGATACCATACCGAAAATGCACCACAGTGGTTTTGAATTTGAAGCACTAGGAAGTAAACAGAAAAAGGGAAAGTGAAAGGAGCAAGTGGAGTCTAAAATGCTTGAAGGTATCATGGAGTCTTGCAGCATGTCTTGATGTGCAGTGGGGTCTCAGAGTGAATCTAAATTGATTTTTAAAAGTGTGTCCTTGTACTCCCGCAGCTGGAAAAAGGCTATCATTGCTAAACAAGAGTTAATGAGATTTAAGGAGTTAAAAATATAGTCTTTAAAGTGTAGGAGTGAAATCTGAAGCAGGAAAATACAAGAGGGTGTAAATTCTGGTGGGGTTAGATGTAAAGCTGTAATATGGCCGAAACAAATGGGAACAAATGGGCAAATCAGAAACAGGAATCCCACCTTAGCAAGGGTCAAGAACTAGTCGAGTACTGAGGGAGCACTGTGAATAGATTGGGCAAATGTTTTGAAAAAAAATAGGCTAGCATGTGAGAAAGGGGAAAAATCATCCTACAAATTAGTTACTGGTTAAATGATAAACAAAAGTAAGAAGAAATTGTATGTTTTCTGGAAGGAGGATGGTTACTGAAATTTCTGAGAAGATGTTCCAAAGATCTCAGAATGGGGCCAACACTGTGCAATGTATTTCTGAGTGATCTAGAAAAGGAAGTTAATAATGAACTGATACCATTTGTGTATGATAAACAGTAATTGGGGGCAGTCCAACCTACAGCTAACTGTGAAGAAATACAGAAGGTTCTCGCATTTCTATCTTAGCAGATGATGATAAAATAAAGGTTGGATTTGGTGTGAATAATTGCAAAGTACTGCAGATGGCACATCCTCAGCTATGAACATAGGGATATTCTCTAAATTGGCTATAATCAAATGGGAAAACCATCTTGGAGGCACAGTGGGAAGCTCTTCGGTGACAAACACCAGAAATTATTAGGAGGGATATAGACAGCCAAACAGCTTGGCAGAATGGCATGATAAACCACTGAATAAAATTTGTGATGAAACCACATCTGTAACATTGCATTCAGGTCAGCTTCTCCTTGTTTCCAAACAAGTAGATCTGTGGTCTCCAAACTACACAAAATGTAGAAAAAGGCAATAAGTTAGTCAAGGGTAAGTTGTTTCCACAGGAGAAGACGTCCCCCAAGCATGGGGATGAAATTCCAGAAGAAGACACAGTAAGAACTGGAGTAGTACACAAAAGGTAACTTGAGAAAGAGTGATCTCTGTTTCTTACAACTTAAAATAGAGCAGTTCTGATTAAAGAATACCAGGCAGCAGGTGTTAGGTGGTTTGTTTTGGTTTTTTGTTTGGGTTTTTTTTGTTAGCATGCATCTAAGTGATAAAGTACAGGATACTGTGGAGAGGAAAACATATTCAAAGGTAGGAAAAATTCATGGCAATCAAAGTTGCCAGAGGTTATTTAACACTGCTCACATTGATACAGATACAGTTCTCAAGGACGAGTCCCTGCTCATCCCAGGAAGCAAGGATGGTTTCCTTATTAGGAAAGGCTCCCAAGTCTGTGCTGCTGTTACTCTCTCTGAGGTGCTGCTGCAGGTGTTTGCTGAAGAAGGGAAGGTGGGTTTGTTTTTATGGCACCAATGCTCTGGAGAGATGCAAACCATTCTGCACTGCCCTCTCTGTGAGGCAGGAGGGG